GGAGGCTGAGGCAGGAGAATTGCTTGAACCTGGGAGGCAGGGGTTGTGGTGAGCTGAGATTGCGCCATTGCGCTCCAGCCTGGGCAACAAGAGCATGACTCCATCTCAAAAAAAAAAAAATTGTTTTTGGATAGGTAATTATGCACAAGTTCACAAAAGAGTATATGGTAAAAAGTTTCATTCCTATACTTTTCCCAAACTAGTTTCCTCTTCTCAGATTCAACCAATGTTAACTTACCCATTTCTTCTCCAGGCATCTTGTTTATATACGTTATACAGAGATGTGTGTGTATTGTTTTTACATTAATGTTAGTATCCTGTATAGAATGTTATATAACTTTTTTTTTTTTTTTTTTTTTTTTGAGACAGGGTCTCCCTCTGTTGCCCAGGCTGAAGTGCAGTGACGTGATCATGGCTTACTGCAGCCTCAACCTCCTGTATTCAAGTGATGCCCCTGCCTTAGCTTCCCCAGTAACTAGGACTACAAGTGTGCACTACCATGCCTGGCTAATTTTTTATTTTTTGAGAGACAGGGTCTCACTGTGTTGCCCAGGCTGGTCTTGAACCCTAAGGCTCAAGTGATCCTCCTGCCTCAACCTCTCAAAGTGCTAGGATGAGAGATGTGAACCATTGTGCCTAGCTAGCTGTTTTGTTTGTTTGTTTTCTTCTTGAGACAGGATCTTGCTGTGTTGCCCAGGCTGGAGTGCAGTGGCATGATCGTGGCTCATTGTAGCTTCAATCTCGCAGACCCAAGTGATCTCTCCACCTCAGCCACCTAAGTAGCTGGGACTATAGGCACATGCCACTATGCTTGGCTGATTTTTTTTTTTTTTTTTCACAACACAAAAACTTTTTTTTTTTTTTTTTTTTGGTAAATTTTTTGGGGGTTTTTTTTTTTTTTTTTTTTTTCAGATAAGATTTTTCACCATGTTAGTCAGACTGGTCTCGAACTCCTGACCTCAAGTGATCCACCTGCCTTGGCTTCTCAAAGAGCTGGGATTATAGGCGTGAGCCACCACGCCCCTGATTTTTTTTTTTAATAGCCTTACTGAGATACAATTTACATATCTTACAATTCATTCAGTATACCTGTTAAAATATGTTTTGTTTTGAGACAGAGTCACTTTATGTCACTCAGTCTGGAGTGCAGTGGCATGATCTCAGCTCCCTGCAGCCTTGACTTCCTGGACTCAAGCCATCCTCCGGCCTCAGCCCCTCAAGTAGCTGGGACTACAGGTGCACGCCCCAAAGCCTGGCTAATTTTTGTATATTTTTAGTAGAGATGGGGTTTCAGCATGTTGCCCAGGCTGGTCTCGAACTCCTGGACTCAAGTGATCCGCCCACCTCTGGCCTTCCAGAGTGCTGGAGCCAAACATTTTAAAATCAAATAAATTTAGAAAAATGTTAAAGATTTTATGTTAGTTCCTATTGTAAGTTTTAAAAGGTTTTAGTTCTGCTTATGTAATCATGCTGAAATATGTGCAAAAAGAAATTACATCATTTTCAGCTATTTTATGTTTTTATTCATCTGTTTCTTCATTCATTCATGCATGCATGCATGCATGCATGCATGCATGCATTTGTTCGTTCGTTAATTAATTAATCAATTCTTTTGAAGCCAGGTATTGCTGTGTCATCCAGGCTGGAGTACAGTGGTATGATCACAGTTCCCAGCAGCCTTGACCTCCCAGGTTCAAGCATTCCTCCCACCTCAGCCTCCCTGGTAGCTGGGACCACAGGCATGTGCTACCACATGTGACTAATTTTAAAAAAGAATTTTTTTTTTTTTTTGTAGGAACAGGGTCTCATTCTGTTGCACAGGCTGTTCTTGAACTCCTGGGCTCAAAGCTGTCCTCCTGCCTCGGCCTCCCAATGTGCAGAGACTACAGGCATGAGTCACCATGCCCAGCCTCTATGTCTCTTTTTTTTTTTTTTTTTTCCTTTTTTTTTTTTTTTTTATTTATTTTTTTTGAGGCAGTGTCTCTCTCTGTCACCCAGGCTGGAGTGCAGTGGCACATTCTCGACTCGCTACAACCTCTGTCTCCTGGGTTCAAGCAATTCTCCTGCCTCAGCCTCCCGAGTAGCTGGAATTATAGGTGCCCGCCACTACGCTTGGCTAATTTTTTGTATTTTTAGTGGAGGTGGGGTTTCACCGTGTTAGCCAGGCTAGTCTTGATTTCCTGACCTTGTGATCCACCTGCCTTGGCCTCCCAAAGTGCTGGAATTACAGGTGTGAGCCACTGTGCCCGGCTATTTCTCTTTTAAAATAACATCCTAGGCTGGGCATGGTAGCTTACACCTGTAATCCCAGCACTTTAGGAGGCCTAGGCAGGCAGATCACCAGTTCAGGACATCAAGACCATCCTGGCTAACATGACGAAAACCTGTCTACTAAAAATACAAAAAATTAGCCAGATGTGGTGGCACGCACCCGTAATCCCAGCTACTTGGGAAGCTTAGGCAGGAAAATTGCTTGAACCCGGGAGGCAGAAGTTGCAGTGAGCCAAGATTGTGCTGCGGCACTCCAGCCTGGGCAACAGAGTGAGACTCCATCTCAAAAATAAATAAATAAAATAAAATAAAATAATGTCTTAGTATATGAGAAGAGCATACTATATAACAAAAGACGTAATATAACATTACGTAAAAACTGTATGTAGGCTGGGCATGGTGGCTCATGCCTCACTACAAATGATATATGTAAATGTTAAGTGATCTGTACGTGCTGGGATTACATATGACTTTTATTTTCTTCTAAACTTTACAGAATTTTTAAACTATTCTGCAGTGAACGTAATATTTTTATAACAAACTAAACAATTTAAAGTGTAATTAAAATCAAAAGACTTGTTCTCTGGGAAGCAGAAAGAAAATACAGTATCAGTGTGAGAAAGATCAAAATTCTTTTTAAAAAATATATATTTTCCCCCCAAGATGGAGTTTTGCTCTTGTTGCCCAGGCTGGAGTGCAGTGGCATGATTTCGGCTCACTGCAGCCTCCGCCTCCTGGGTTCAAGCAATTCTCCTGGCTCAGCTTCCTGAGTAGCTGGGATTACAGGCATTTGCTACCATTCCTGGCTAATTTTGTATTTTTAGTAGAGACCGTGTTTTTCCATTATTGGTCAGACTGGTCTTGAACTCCCGACCTCAAGTGATCTGCCTTCCTCTGCCTCCCAAAGTGCTGGGATTACAGGCATGAGCCACCACGCCCAGCCAAAAGAAATTTATTTTATAGAGATGGCATCTCATAGTTTTGCCCAGGCTGGTCTCAAACTCCTGGGTTCAGGCAGTCCTCCCATCTTGTCCTCACAAGGTGCTGGGATTGTAAGCATGAACCACCAAGATCAAGATTTTTACTTAATAAATGGACCGTTACTGGTCTATCATGATCTAAGGAAAAAATAAAATATTAATAAAAATAAAAAAATAAATGGACCATAAAGATCACTTATAATGTTATTTAAGGTATGGTTTACAGGCCACTGCTGGTCTATGACCTAGCTGTTCCTGTTTAGTGGTGAGATAAATACAAAAATTGAGTGTAAGCTTTTAGAGTGTTTTATAGCATTTTGATACAACAATATCCAAGTGTACACTCATTTTTATAGTAATTGATTTTTATTGTTACTGCAGAAGTATTGCTCCATGACCTGATTGGGATATTGTAAAAAGCAGCCTTGTCAGCCTACCTATTTAAAAGTACATTGAACTGGACAGAGTGCTGTGTACCTGTAGTCGCAGCTGCTCTGGAAGTTGAGGTAGGAGGATTACTTGAGTCAGAGAGTTTAAGCTCAGCCTGGGCAACATAGTGAGACCACTGTCTCTAAAAATGAGTAAAGAAAATAAAAATACATTCATTTGTGAAACTCTGAAATCTGAGACCAGTGATTTAGTACTTAATAAGTATAAAGCACTTACTGGCCGTCAAGCCCTGTTCTAAATGCTTTGTAAAATTTTTCATTTATGCACATAGAATTTCTATAGCCTTTCTTTCCTGCCTGTTCTTCTGGATCAGCATGTCATTGTGTGTCGTAAAATAAGAATATAGAGCCCAGTAAGACCATTACATCATTTATCATGGATTTTGTATTTCAGTTACCTATGACTTGTAGGTAGCGGTAGCAAATCATGCTGTTAACCTTCTTTGTTTAAAATTCTGAGATCTTTATTCTTTGAGTTACTATTGAGCCCATCCTCCCTTATCCAGTTTTTATATAATTGAAGTTTTGTATCTAAGTGTAGGAATTTATATGTATACCTTATTCCTTCTAAATTAAATCTTCATTTTGGCTCATTATTAGTCCTGAAGAAGTGTTTTTTTCTATTTCTGTGTTGTTTTTTAAGCTTAGTTATGTCAGTAATCCATCAGTTCTCCTTCCATTGTCTGTAAAATTGATGATCATAGCTTTTATATCTTTAGTCAAGTTACTGATTTTTAAATCTTCAGAACTTTATGGTATGCCATTGGACATTTCTTGCCATTTTGACACAGCTCCTTTAATCAGTTCATTGTTGACATTAGCTAATGCATCTACTTAATTCTACGGTGGTTAGACCTGTCTGGTAGATTGTAATAAAGGATGTGAGATAACAAGTGGTAAGGAGAACCTGCTTTTAGATCATTGAATTTTATACTTGAAGGTCCATTCTTCCCATTTGCTGGCTGCCACAGTAATCTTTAGAAAAAAAAACCCTTTTCCCCCTTCAGAATGTTAAGAAAATAACTAGACATTTGTGACAGTAAATAGATACGCAAAATAGATAAGATTTTTATTAAAGTGTGATGTTTATTCTTCAGCATCTGTTAGACATTTCCTCCTGTATATTGAATATTGTTAGAGGAAAATGGATCATCTTTGTGGACCCAGAGTCTTGATAGAATTAAGGGCGGTAATTTGGGATGGAATTTCATTTTCTTTTCCTTTTCCTTGTGGGAACTACCACTTTATTCACTGGTGATATCCTGTTAACTAAGGAAAAGTTTTATTTTTTTCCCCTTAGCTTGCTGAACTAAAGCAGGAATGTCTTGCTCGTGGTTTGGAGACCAAGGGCATAAAGCAAGATCTTATCCACAGACTCCAGGCATATCTTGAAGAACATGGTGAGTACTTTGTGGAGGCAGAGTGATGTGAGTGAGGGAATTAATTTTCAGGCTTTGACACTTAGAAGATTTCTCTTTTTTTTTTAGGTGATTAGAGATGTAACCTCTTAATTAACAGCATCGAAATCTTTTTTTTTTTTTTTTTTTTTTTTTAAGAGGTAGTCTTACTCTGTCACCCAGGCTGGAATGCAGTGGCGAAGTCTCGGTCCACTGCAACCTCTGCCTCCTGGGTCCAAGCAATTCTTCTGTCTCAGCCTCCCGAGGAGCTGGGACTACAGTTGCATGCCACCATGCCTGGCTTATTTTCGTATTTTTAGTAGAGACAGGGTTTCACCATGTCGGTAAGGCTGGTCTAGAACTCCTGACCTCAGGTGATCCACCCGCCGTGGCCTCCCAAAGTGTTGGGATTACAGGTATGCACCACCATGCCTGGCCAGAAAACTCGATCATCTAGAACAGTTGTTACAATATAAAGACTTATTCCCTTTTTTAAAAGATGTAATTTTATTTCAGCATGTTATTTAAAAGGTAGCATGATAATACAAGTATCATTAGACTAGGAATTGGAAGGCTTGAGTTCTAGTTCCTCTTAGGCCAGAAATTTACTAGGTAACTTTGGACAGTTATTGGTTTTTGAAATTTTATTATTATTATTTTTTGAGATGGGGTCTCACTCTGTCACTTAGGTTGGAGTGCAGTGACATGATCCTGGCTTACTGCAGCCTCTGCCTCCCAGCCTCAAATGATCTTCCCACCTCAGCCTCCCAAGTAGCTGGGACCACATTGGCTAAGTTTTTGTATTTTTGGTAGAGGTGGGATTTCACCATGTTGCCCAGGGAAGTCTTGAATTCCTGAGCTTAAGCGATTCACCCACCTTGGTCCCGCAAAGCGCTGAGATTACAGGCCTGAGCCACTGTACCTGGACTTGGACAGTTACTGTTTAAAGTTCCAAGTGTCTGTTCCTGATCTATGAAATAAGACTATTGTCTGGACCCTTAAAATCCATAAACTAGGTAATCTCTGGTCCTTTCTGACACACTCCAATTCTGCCTTTAAAAAAATACCCATTCTGGCCGGGCGCGGTGGCTCAAGCCTGTAATCCCAGCACCTTGGGAGGCCGAGGCAGGTGGATCACGAGGTCAAGAGATCGAGACCATCCTGGTCAACATGGTGAAACCCCGTCTCTACTAAAAAATACAAAAAATCAGCTGGGCATGGTGGCACTTGCCTGTAATCCCATCTACTCAGGAGGCTGAGGCAGGAGAATTGCCTGAACCCAGGAGGCGGAGGTTGCGGTGAGCCGAGATCGCGCCATTGCACTCCAGCCTGGGTAACAAGAGTGAAACTCCGTCTCAAAAAAAAAAAAAAAAAATACCCATTCTTCATCTTTTTCATCTTGTACAGCCTTCTTATTTTATTTTTTGTTACCCAGGCTGGAGTGCAATGGTATAACCTTGGCTTACTGCAACCTCTGCCTCTCAGGTTCATGTGATTATCATGCTTCAGCCTCTTGAATAGCTGGGATTATAGGTGTCTGCCACGATGCCTGGCTAATTTTTTGTATTTTTAGTAGAGATGAGGCTTCACCATATTGGCCAGGCCGGTCTCAAACTTCTGACCTCAGGTGATCTACCCACCTAGGCTTTCAAATGTGCTGGGATTACAGGTGTGAGCCACCACGCCCAGCCTTGTTGTATGACCTTTATCTCAGGTTGTACAAGTCTCCTCTCTAATTTTTATTTGCTTACTTTTATTTCCATTCCTCATTTCACTTCCTTCTCAACCCATTTAGGCAACCATTCTAATGTGTTTGAGTATATATTTTTTTGTCTTTGTCCTTGTAAACTATGTAGTGTTGTTTGATAGCATGTTTTCATTTATATAATTGGTAATTATGTAATTGGCCATAGCCTTTATTTCTTATTTTTTTTTTCAGTAAGTGTTGTGTTTTCTTAAAGACGTGGAATGTGACTCTGTAATTATCTAGTCTGTTGATTCTAATTCCTGTATAGCATTCTATGATGGGTAACCACCACATTTCACTTAATTCACTCAGTGACAGAAACCTATATTGCCACCAAGCCTCTGCTACTATCAGTGACACTACTTACAGTATTATGTATGGTAATACTATATGTATATAATAGGATATAGTATATATTATACTACAGGTTAAGTATTCTATATTTGAAATGCTTGGGACCAGAAGTGTTTCAGTTTTTAGATTTTTTTTGGATTTTGGAATATGTGTGTGTGTGTGTGTGTGTGTGTGTGTGTGTGTAGAGAGAGAGAGAGAGAGAGGTGGGGGGGGTATCTTGGTGGTGAGATCCACGTCTAAACACAAAATTCATTTGTTTATTGTCTACATATCTGAAAGTAGTTTTATACAGTATTTAAGATAATTTTGTATATGAAACAAAGTTTTGACTGTGACCCATCACATAAGGTTAGGTGTGGGGTTTTCCACTTGTGTTGTCATATCGGCCTTCAAAAAGTTTTAGATCAGGCCGGGCGCGGTGGCTCAAGCCTGTAATCCCAGCACTTTGGGAGGCCGAGGCGGGTGGATCACGAGGTCAAGAGATCAAGACCATCCTGGTCAACACGGTGAAACCCCGTCTCTACTAAAAATACAAAAAATTAGCTGGGCATGGTGGCGCGTGCCTGTAATCCCGGCTACTCAGGAAGCTGAGGCAGGAGAATTGCCTGAACCCAGGAGGCGGAGGTTGCGGTGAGCCGAGATCGCGCCATTGCACTCCAGCCTGGGTAACGAGAGCGAAACTCTGTCTCAAAAAAAAAAAAAAAAAAAAAGTTTTAGATTTAGGAGCATTTCTGGTTTTGAATTTTCACATTGGGGATGCTTAACCTGTAGGATATAGTATACTATATTCTATATACTAATAGTATATAATATATAATTAAGAACTACTTCTTTTATCCTCTTATGTTCCTGTGAAAGTCTTTTTGGGGTATATGCCCAAGAGTGGTATTGCTAATTATTATTATTCATAAATATATAATATGCCTAAGGGCTTTCAAATTGTTTTCCAGAATTGCTCTATAGATCTACAGTCTCATTACTAGTACATAAGGTTTCTTGTATCTCCACAAACCTAAACTTGGCACTATCCTATCAAATGGCCTAAGTTTGCTAATTTGTTGGCTGTTTTATGTTCTCCATGAAAAAAGTTTAAACATTTCATGATTCTTTGGGTTTCTTCTTTGCCTAGTTTTTTATTGAGGTTCCCATAATTTCCTTGTTGGTTTGCAGGCATTTCTTTTATATTCTAATAACTATTCCTTTGTTGGTTTTAGACACAAATCTCTTCTTTGGCTGTGTGGAGTGGTTTATGCCTATAACTCAGCACTTTGGGAGGCTTAGGTGGAATGATCTCTTGAGGCCAGGAGTTTGAGACCAGTCTGAGCAGCATAGTGAGATCCCGTCTCTAAGAAAATAATTAGCTGGATGTCCTGGTGTGCACCTGTAGTCCTATCTACTTGGGAGGCTAAGGCAACAGGAACCCTTGAGCCCAGGAGGTGTGATTGTGCCACTGCACTTCAGCCTGGGTGACAGAGTGAGACTATCAACAAAAACAAATATCTTGTCATTTGTCTTTAAGTAGAAGTACTTAATTTTGAAAAATCTTTAGTTTTGCATCTCTTACTTTTGCTACTGGGTTGTTTTTCTTTTAAACAAAATTTTCCCCACAAGTAAATCTCAAAATCTCAAAGATATTATTCACATTACTTTTTTTGTTCGTTTGTTTTTCGGGACAGAGTCTTGCTCTGTCACCCAAACTGGAGTGCAGTGACATGATCTTGGCTCACTGCAACCTCTTCCTTCCGGGCTCAAGTGGTGCTCCCACCTCAGCCTCCCCAGTAGCTAAGACTATAGGTGCATGCCACCACACCCAGCTATTTTTTGTATTTTTTATAAAGACGAGGTTTCGCTGTGTTGCCCAGGCTGGTCGCTTGAACTCCTGGGTTCAAGCCATTCATCTTCCTCTGCCTCCCAAAGTGCTAGGATTACAGAGTAAGCCACAGTGCCCAGCCCCACATTACTTTTTAAATTAATTCTCTAGTTTGACTTTACATTTCTTTCTTCAGTCCAACTGGAGTTCACATTTATAATTAATGTTAGGTAGAGATCTGGTTTTATCTTCTCCAGATGTAGCAGATTATTTGTGCATCAGTTTCTGCCTTCACTATTGGATTTTTTGGGGGAAAACAAAGTGATTATAATTTTAACCTTGGTAAGTGATCAAGATGGTTTTGTAGCAGGGCTTGACCTGAATATTTTAATATTCTTTAGCTGAAGAGGAGGCAAATGAAGAAGATGTACTGGGAGATGAAACAGAGGTGAGTTGGATAGAGTAAAGTTAGTCTCTGGTCTGGTAATGTGCCACTGCCTTGGCCACATTGCTTTAACATCAGTCATTGGAGGACTTCGGTGTAAATTTATTAGGGGAGCATAAGATGGGTATGAAGGTTCTGAGAGACTGGTTTATTTTAAAGTTCTGATGTTCTTCTGTTGATAGATATTTATTCTTTAGATTTATGTTAACCACCTTGTTTCATTTGGTTTTAGGAAGAAGAAACAAAGCCTATAGAGCTCCCTGTCAAAGAGGAAGAACCCCCTGAAAAAACTGTTGATGTGTAATTATCCCTTTTTTATAATCTGAGTACAGAGCAGGCAGCTCTTTTTTTTAATTGTTTAATGTTTAACTGTTTACCTCTTATATGTTCCCATTGGCCTTTTCATATCTGATTAGATCTTTTTGGTTTTTTTTTTTTTTTTTAGAAGGGGCTACTTCAAAGTACTTGGTCCCAGTGAAGCAAAGCAAATTTTCTCTGAGTTACGTAATAGGTAATTAGGACCAAGCGACTTCAAGACCAGACATAGTTTAATTCTCCTAGCCCTTGTTGTTCTTTTGTAGGGTCACCATAATAGATTATTCTGTTACTCTGTAGAGAATCTGCACAGTTCTCTATACAGTATAAAACTATATAAACTCTGTTAACTCTTTTTTTTTCTTTCTTTTTTTTTTTTTTTTTGAGACAGTGTCTTACTGTGTCTCCCAGACTGGAGTGCAGTGGCATAGTCTCGGCTCACCGCAACCTCTGCTTCCCAGGCTCAAACAATTTATCCTGCCTCAGCCTCCCAAGTAGCTGGGATTACAGGCATGTGCCCCTACTGCCCGGCTAATTTTTGTATTTTTCTTTCTTTTTTTTATCCTCCCAGGATGAGTGGCACTCCGCACCGGACCCTGGTCCCCGCAATTTTTGTGTTTTTAGTAGAGATGGGGTTTCACCATGTTGGCCAGGCTAGTCTTGAACTCCTGACTTCCAATGATCCACCTGCCTTGGCCTACCAAAGTGCTGGGATTATAGGCGTGAGCCACTGTGCCTGGCCCATTCTATTAACTCTTTATAAGAGTTTTGCAGTTTTCTGTAAAAGTATAAAACTGAGGCCAGGCACAGTGGCTCATGCCTGTAATCCCAGCATTTTGGGAGGCCGAGGTGGATGGATCATGAGGTCAGGAGTTCAAGATTAGCCTGGCCAAGATGATGGAAACCCCATCTTTACTAAAAATACAAAAATCAGCTGGGCATGGTGGTGGCCACCTGTAATACCACCTACTCTGGAGCCTGAAGCAGTAGAATTGCTTGAACCTGGAGCTGTAGGTTGCAGTGAGCCGAGATTGTGCCAGTACACCAGCCTGGGCGACAGAGCAAGATTCTGTCTCAAAATAAATAAATAAATAAATAATAAGTAGTACTGTATATAAGGAGTTTTGTAAGGGAGGAGGGTGTTGGATAGAGGTTACATTTCTCAAGTAACACTCTGTTCTCTCTTGCTTTCTGATTTACAGTGGAGGAGGGGAGGACAAGTACTAGAGTGGAAAGTAGATCTTGATTTGTTTAAACTATTCCACAAAGGTGTTCCTAAACATCTTTAATTTGGGGCTTTTTCCACAACTCTCTGGCCATTTTGTACTACAGCACATTAACAACAGTTGAGTCCCTTTTAACATTTTTGTTCTTCATAGCTGTGTTAATGCATTTAATTATGAAAGGCCATATATATAACTTTATTTTTTGAGATGGAGTCTCGCTCTGTCGCCAGGCTGGAGTATAATGGCATGATCTCAGCTCACTGCAACCTCTGCCTCCTGGATTCAAGTGATTCTCCTGTGTCAGCCTCCCGAGTAGCTGGGACTACAGGCGCGCATCACCATACCCAGCTAATTTTTGTATTTTTTAGTAGAGACAGGGTTTCACCATGTTGACCAGGATGGCCTCAATCTCTTGATCTTGTGATCTGCCCACCTTGGCTTCCCAGAATGCTGCGATTATAGGCATGAGCCACCATGCCCAGCCAAAAGGCAATATGTTTACCCGTAAAAAATCAGTACATAGAGGAGTATATCAATTGAAAATTAAGTACTCTTTGTATCCATTCTCATTTGACTTTACTGAGGTTTTTAGAACAGTACGTTCTTTTGAAATATTTTATATATGGAGTCTGTATGTGTGTGCATGTATGTACATATGTATGTATGTGTATATATAGATACATGTATACACACACTATGCACACTGTTCCTTGATTTTTTTTCATATCTGGAAATTTTTTATATCATAATTTTCTTATTTAAGTGTTATATGCTAGGCATTGTTCTGAATGTAAATAGTTTCTTTTAATCCTCAGTAGACCCTATGAAGTCAGGATAATTATCCTAGGAAGTGGTCTCTTTTGTTTAGCTTGTTTGTTATCATAGGAAATTATAAGTATATACAAAAGTTATGAGACTAGTATAATAGACTCTCATCTACCAATAACCCAGATTTACTAGTTATCAACTTAGAACCTTGTTGTTTCTAGCATTTAATAGTATTCCATTCTGTGGGTAAACAGTAATTTATTTCACCAGTCTCCTGTTGATGGACATTTAGAGTATTCATAAAAGCCAAAAAAAAAATGTAGTTCTGCATGTCTTTTTCTAATTATTTATACTGACAAGTACAACCATAGGGTAAATTCCAAGCAGTGGATTTGCTGCATCACAGAGGATGTAACACTTAACATTTAGATATCTTTTTGTCAAATATTCGTTTATTTATTTTTTGAGACAGGGTCTCACTCTGTTGCCCAGGCTAGAGTATGGTGGCACAATCTTGGCTAACTGCAGCCTCCATTTCCCGGCTCAAGTATTTCTCCAGCCTCAGCCTCCCAAGTAGCTGGGACTATAGGCACAAGCCACCACACCTGGCTCTTCTTTTGTAATTTTTGTAGAGATGGGGTTTCACCATGTTTCCCAGGCTGGTCTTGAACTCCTGAGCTCAAAGCGATCCACCCACCTTGGCTTCCCAAAGTGCTGGGATTACAGGTGTGAGCCACCATGCCCAGCCTGTCAAATATTACTTTCTAAAGCCATTTAGTTATCTTTCCATCATAAGAGGTTTATGATTAGATATAGTGTCTTGAAAAAATGACGTTGCGGGATAGCTTTAAAATAGAATGTTACAGGAATTTCTGGGATAAGAAGGAAGATCAGGTGAATACCATGATAATTGGCCTGCGTGGGTTAAAAAGTAGAGGTTTGAAAGTTTGAAGTTCATTATTCATAGAATATTTAAAATGTGCATTTTCTTGTTCAGGGGGCTTTAATTCTGTTAATGAATTTTGAAACAAGGAAATTGAAGTGGATGGGGATCATTTTGCTTTTTAGAGGGATACCTGTGGTTAGACTGAAGTATGTACAGAAAGATTCTGGGTCCCTATATTTCGGAGAATGTTGTTTATGTGATTGGGTAGGAGAGAAATTTCTGTGAAGAGCGGAAATTTCCCATGCATCCCAGAATTTGATGTTTATTTATTGCTTGAGTTTAGTTATGCCTAAAGGAATTCAAATAGAACAGAAGGAAGCTTCCTTTCTGGGGTTCCCTTTCTGCCAGGAGGTGCACTGCATTGACTGTGCTTCAGAATGGGAGTGGGGAGGAAGTTATTACACTGGGGTTGATGGAGACTACTGCTCTCTTGATGGCATTGGACTTGAAGTAAAACATTAAACTTCTCTTGCCTTTTGTGCCTAAATTATAAGACAAGGTTAGGGAAGGATGGCAAAGAAATGGGAAGCATTTAGAAATTTCTTTAAAAGTCACAATAGTCAGAGCTAGTTTAGATTCTTTGACTGTTTAAAAGGAGATCCCCTTATTCATCTTTGGCCTGAGGTTCCCCAAAAATATACATTTCTAGTTTGATTCCCCATCCCATCCACCAGCCAAAACAGTTACATATTGTAGGACTTAGTTATGGTCAGCAGGGGGCACCCATTGCTTGTCTGTCAGTCCAGGGATTTCCAACAAAAGGGTGAAGGAGAGAGTAAGTTCTTGTTCCAGAATTGCTTCCTCTGAAAATGTCATTAAACCATTACTACCATTCAGGGCATCAAATGGGAAAAGTGTCCGGGATATTTGAACAAAAGCTGTCCATGTCTCTAAATGAGGGACCTTAATGAGACTGGTTATGACCCACAGTTTTATGGGAGTTGTTTGGTGGAGGGTTAATGCCCTTCCATTTACCCTGGGTACTTCCGAACTTTGTCTCCCGCCCCTGTGGTCCCCTTTCTTTTGTTTTCTCTTAAGCTTTTGACCAGTAACTTACCATGTTTTCCTAATTCAAACTCCCCTTAGACTTTTTTATTCCTACCTTTGGCATTTTTATTTGTTCCACTTTGACTGTTCCAGCTAGAGCTACATTCCCCATGGGAGAAATAAGGGATTTTTAAAAGAAAACCAGACCCTGTAGAGTACTCATTAATTGTTGTGATGAACACTGAGAGCTGGTACTTAAAGGAGGGTTGGAGGGCTACTCATTAGTTCAAAAGTAAATTAAAGGCCAAGTACAGTGGCTCATGCCTATAATCACAACACTTAGGGAGGCTGAGGTGGGTGGATCATTTGAAGCCAGGAGTTCGGGACTAGCCTGCCCAACATGGTGAAACCCTGTCTCCACTAAAAATATAAAAATTAGCCAGGCATGGTGGTGGATGCCTGTAATCCCAGCCATTCGGAAGATTGAGGCAGAAGAATCGCTTGAACCCAGGAGGTGGAGGTTGCAGTGAGCCGAGATCACGCCACTGCACTCTAGCCTGGGCGACAAGAGCAAAACTCCATCTCAAAAAAAAAAAAAGTAAATTAAGAAGTTCCTAAAAGCAAATGAGATGGTTTCTGATGTCCTTTGAGTGCATCCCTTTAGCCCAGTATATTTAACCAGACTTCTTTTCTTATTTCTTTATTATATATTAGCTAAAGAAGCTTAGTTTGTCATTTGAACTCTTTCCTCTCAATAGATGACAGTTAAAAGAACCAAAGCTTTAGTGGACTTCATGTTTCTTTGGCTTAAGGGGTGGCAGAGAGATAATAGGGCAGAGAACGGTGACTCAGATGAATTCTTACACATTTCTAAGGTTGTGGTTTAGAATATCAGTTTTCTCATTTAAAAATACCTCTTTCTTTTCTAGGGCAGCAGAAAAGAAAGTGGTGAAAATTACATCTGAAATACCACAGACTGAGGTAGGTATTCTGCTCCCTAGTAGAATAGTCTCTACATTTCTCTCTCCCTCTTCACCTTTATTATATCTGCATCATCCTCCAAAATTTATTCACAGGCAGAAAATCAGTATTGACAGATTTTGGTGGTGTTACGTTTCTCTGCCAGCTATTCTTTGGAAAATATGTGGCTGGCATAGTGAGTAGTCATTCTTGAAGCTGTAGCCTTTTTGTATGTAGTTCTATGATCTTAACAGTGACTCTCTTTGAGATGTTTACAAACCTAGGATTAGAGTTTGGGAGGATTGTACCTTGAAAATATATTGCTAGATATGACTTTTATGTTGCTACTGGCCAGTAGATGAGATTGAAATTTCTTTGGATTTGTGGTGCAGGTCTGTGAAACCAGATTCTAGTTGAGATCATGTGTTCAGTATCATACTTTCAAAGTAGAGAATTATTAAACTGTTTTAGAATAGCATAAAACAATTCTGCTTCATTTCTAACTGAAAGAATACCACTAGTGTTGGAACCAAATTGTTCCTTTGATCACTTTTCAAAGGTCAGCCAAACAGAGCTTTTGACTTCTTGGCTTCATTCATAATATAGGTTTTACTTTTATTCCTTCCTTTTCTTTTTGAGGGCATGTAATAATAGTCTTTTTGTGTTTGCTTTCTGGAAAGGGCTGTTAAGTCCTGCTATGGACACAACCTGATATCTTCTAGGATTGTCAGCATTTTCACTTTAGACCCTAAGAAATTACCCCTGATGTTTTTAGGATACCTACCTCTGGCTGGGTGGGGTGGCTCACACCTTTAATCCCAGTACTTTGAGAGGCTAAGGGGTGGTTCACTTGAGGCCAGAAGTTCAAGATCAGCTTGGCCATCATGGTGAAATCCCATTTCTACTAGAAGTACAAAAATTAGCTGGGCACAGTGGTGCAATCCTGTAATCACAGCTACTTGGGAGGCTGAGCCACAAGAATCGCTTGAACCCAGGAGGCTGACGTTGCAATTAGCCGAGGTTACACCACTACCTTACAGTCTGGGCAACAGAGTGAGATTGTGTCTTTTAAAAAAGCAAAAAAACGAAACAAGCAAAAAGTACCTCGGACTAACCTTTTTTTCTTTTTTCTTTTCGAGATGGAATTTCGCTATTCTTGCCCAGGCTAGAGTGCAATGGCATGATCTCAGCTTACCACAACCTTTGCCTCCCGGGTTCAAGCAGTTCTCCCTCAGCCTCCCGAGTAGCTGGGTTCACAGGCGTGTGCCACCACGCCCAGCTAATTTTTGTATTTTAAGTAGAGATGGGGTTTCTCCATGTTGGTCAGGGTGGCCTCGAACTCTTGACCTCAGGTGATTGCCCGCCTTGGCCTTCCAAAGTGCTGGGATTACAGGCGTGAGCCACCGAGCCCGACCACTAACTTTCTTAAACCATAAATTGACATTTTTATCTCCTTTCTTTCATCTATTTTTACTTAGAGAATGCAGAAGAGGGCCGAACGATTCAATGTACCTGTGAGCTTGGAGAGTAAGAAAGCTGCTCGGGCAGCTAGGTGAGTGTCCCCAGCCTTTTGGGCCTGCAATAGTGATGTTGTAAGGTGAAGAGGCGTGATCCTAGGTTTTAGATGTAGTTGTTGATTTTAAGTAGAATAGAGGCTTGCTGAAGGACATGAACACTTTTTGACCCTATTCAGAACATCTCTACTGATTTGGATATCGTAGCTATAGATTGGGCTTTATTGAGAAGGGTTTGTGTAATAGTTAAAGCCAGGAACTGACTACTACTACTAATTCTGATAAGGCTTCCTTTTAGCTTAATCTCTGGACTTGGTAAGAGGGAGAGTAAACTGAACCTCTTTCATGGGGTTGTTAGAATTAGCTAATGATTGCAAGGCTTGAGATCACAAGCAAGAAGTGTCATATGTATACTTGGCATGCAGACAGACAACCAGGAGTGTGAACAGCTTCCTAAAATTTAGTTTGTTTTTCTTTCTGCAGGTTTGGGATTTCTTCAGTTCCAACAAAAGGTAAGAGTACAGAGATAACTTCTGAGAAAGTTATCTTTATATTCTTTGTTTTCTGGTATAACAGGTTTCATTTCTCCAAAATAAGGTAAATTTGCTAGCCATAGAAATTCTTAAGAGATTATAACTTTCACCTCTTTGCTTTAAGTAAAATTATACTTAAGCCTTCCTGGGCAATTAAGAGAGATACTGAATGTTATGAGAGGATAGGAAGTGCCAACATTTGTCTTCCTTTTCTTGAACATCTTCAAAGAAGTTTCTCTAGTACTTTGCTTACCTATTCTAGGGTCTCATCTGCGTAAAATTATTGCACACTACCCAGTGTTATACTGGCTGTGATAAGTGATAAAAGGGAAAAGAGTATCTTCTACCTTAACAATTTTACTTCTAGGAACGTATAAGGAAAGTCTTGAATGTGCTTAAAGAGTTATTCTCAAGGATTATCACAGCATTATTTATAGTGATCAATTACTGGAAACAACCAACTATACAACAGAGAATTGGTTTAATAAATGTGTGCCATGGTATAGAAGACAACATTGTGCTGAAATAATATTGAAAGATATTTACCAGAGATATTAATGAAAAGAGTTACAAAATTATAGTAACAGTATATTCCCATTTTAGTCATGTAAGAGTGCATATATAGATAGGAAAAAGGATTGGAAAGATATGCAGTTGACGCTTGAACAACACAGGTTTGAACTGCACAGGTTCACTTATACGTGGATTTTTTTTTTCCAATAAATACGGTTTCCCCTCTGTATTTGAGGGTTCATCATAACCAAGTGCAGTTCAAAAATGCAGTATTTGGTGGATGTTAAACCTACAGATATGGAGGAGCGACTTACTGTATCTGCTGCAGGACTTGAGCATGTGTAGATTTTGGTATCAGCTGGAGGGTTGGAGTTGGATCCAGTCACCTGAGGATATGGAGGGATGACTGTATTCTAAATTGTAGTACTCATTATCTCTGGTTGGTGGATTTTTGAATGATTTATTTCTTTTTGTGTGTCTGTGTTTTTAAAATCCATATAATGAATATGTATCACTTTTGTAATGAATTAGAGGAAATAGTTATTATTTTTTTTTTGAGACACAGTGTTGCTCTTACCCAGGTTAGAGTGCAGGGGTGCGATCTGGCTCACTGCAACCTCTGCCTCCTGGGTTCAATCTATTTTCTTGCCTCAGCCTCCTGAGTAGCTGGGACCACAGGTGTCTGCCACCACACCCGGCTAATTTTTGTACTTTTAGTAGAGACGGGATTTTACTGTGTTGGCCAGGCTGGTCTCCAACTCCTGACCTCAAGTGATCCACTCACCTCTGCTTCCCAAAATGGTGGGATTACAGGTGTGAGCAACTGTGCCCAGCCTGAAATAGTTATTATTTTTAAGAAAGGGCTGGGTATGGTGGCTCACGCCTGTAATCCCGGCACTTTGGGATGCCAAGCTGGGAGGAGCGCTTGAACCCAGGAGTTGGAAACTAGGTTGGGCAATAAAGTGACATCTTGTCTCTACAGAAAATTTAAAAATTAGCTAGGTATGGTGGTAAACACCTGTAGTTCCAGCTACTTGGGAGGTTGCAGTGAGCTGAGATCATGCTACTGCACTCCAGCCTGGGGGACAGAGCGAGACTCTTGTCTCAAAAAAAAAAAAAAAAGAACATAGCCCCTTTTCTCAGGAACTTAAAATTTAAATGTAGTTTCCTAATTCAATCCAGTTTTCTCTGTGACTTGTCAGTAGTTTCAAGTAAGAAAATGTCCCTCAGAGATCATGTTGTAGTGTTTTGCTATGCTTTTAAAAAGAGGAAAATTCTGGCCACTATCACTAAGTGTTTTAGAGAAAACAATTTTTTTTGTGGCTCTTAGTTATATCAAGAGAGATAAAACAAATTATAGAAGGTGGTGTTTTTTTTTTTGTTTTTTAAAGAGACAGGGTCTCACTATATTGCCCAGGCTAGACTTGAGCTCCTGGGCTCAAGCAATCCTCCCTCAGCCTTCTGGGTAACTGAGACTACAGGTGCATGGCTGAAATGCTGTTTGAAGAAAGATAATAGTCAAAATTAATTGTCTGAAAAGGGAACTTGATAAAAAATACAGTTTCAGTGTTACTCATAATTCTGATGTCTTATAACTATAGAGTAACTCCAAAATAATGGAATTTGGGAACATCGAAAAGGAAGCATTGTTTTTTGAATGAAATCCTGAAAAGTTTGAAGTAAATAATTATTGGCTAGGTTAGGGTTGGGCCTAGAGGTCAATATACTATTTTTTTCTTTTTGTTTGTTTGTTTGTTTGTTTTTTGAGATGAAGTCTTGCTCTGTTGCGCAGGATGTAGTGCAGTGGCATGATTTCAGCTCACTGCAACCTCTGCCTCCTGGGTTCAGGCAATTCCCCTGTCTCAGCCTCCCGAGTAGCTGGGACTGCAGGTGAACGCCATGACACCTTGCTAATTTTTGTATTTTTAGTAGAAATGGGTTTCAGCATATTGGTCGGGCTGGTCTAGAGCACCTGATCTCAGGTGATCCACCAACCTCAGCCAACCAAAGTGCTGGGATTACAGGCGTGAGCCACTGTGCCCAGCCAGGAGCCATAATTGCAACTCATGATAGTAGTTCTTGTTTGTCCAGTTGTGATCTCTTTTTTAACAACTTTACTGAGATGCAATTTATATAATATACAATTCATTCATTTAAAGGTATATAATTCATTGTTCCTTACTATATTCACAGGATTGTGCTGCTATCATCACAGTGCTTATCACCCCAGAAAGAAACTCTATACCCATCAGCAGATGTCCTCCATTACCTCTCCCTCCCCAGCCCTAAGCAGCCACTAAATTCTTTCTCTGTGGAAATTTGCCTCCATATAAATGAATTCATACAGTATATTACCTTTTGTGATTTGATTCTTTCCCTCAGCGTAGTTTTCAAGGTTCATTCATGTTATAGCATGTGACTCTATTCCATTGTACGGGTATACCATACTTTATTTTGCCAGTCATCAGTTGATGGGTGTTTTCTTTAACTTTTTGTTTAATATGAATAATGCTGCTGTGAATATTTATTTATGTACAAATTTTTGTGTAATTATGTGTTTTGGTTTTCTCTTGGCTGTATAGCTAGCAGTGGAATTGTGGGAGCATATGTAACTGTGTTTGCCTTTTGAGGAACTGCCAAACACTGTTTTCCAAAGCAGCTGTAACTGTTTTATGTTCCTGCTAGCAACTAATACAGACATTGCTAGATGCAATTTCTGCCTTTTCTTTGTCATCAGAGGGTAAAGGATATGTGTCCTGTATACTGTTTTTATGTTGCCTAATTTGACTTGAAGACTGTCGACTTTTATCACTTTTAAAAATATTAAATAAAACTTTATCTACTTCCTTAGGTCTATCATCTGACAACAAGCCTATGGTAAGAAATCATTTTTTATTTCTTACACACTCAGATCTTAATTCTTTATAGCTAACTTTAAAGTTAGTGACTCCTCCTCCCCAGATTAGAGGAAACTCTGAGAACATTAATTTGTTGGCTGTTTTCAGTACAGTGTTGTATGTCCTGAATTTAAAAAATTGTTGGAGATACTGAGAGGTCAGAAAAACTGTAATTGTCACATGATCAGTTACTGCAGATGTCTTCTTTCCTACCACTCTTTTTGAAAGTAGGAATAGATTTTGTTAGCTAGAGAACAATCCATGTAACCCTTTGTTTTATGGTATTGGAGTTTTAGGCCTTGTCCAGTGGCCTTAGATAATGTCTGATTCATAATTACCACAAGAGAATCTGTGGAAGCAACTTATGAATTCTGTTTGTAGCTACTGCTTTTTTTTTTTTTTTTTTTTTTTTTTTTTTAATACTATCCATGAAATGTGAAATCAGAGTAAAGAATGATAGAGTAAAATGGCTCTCTGGACCATTGTGACTAGTCAGCATGTTTAAAAATGGTAATGAATGCTGTGGTGAGATGGAATCAGCTTTACGAAATCCTGCTTAAGGGGTTACTGTTTAGTATTGTAAGTGAAGGTTTAATATTATTAATGAAAATTTCCTAAATATATATACATATATATACTTTTTTTTTTTTTTTTGAGGCAGAGTTTTACTCTTGTTGCCCAGGTTGGAGTGCAATAGCACAATCTCAGCTCACTGCAACCTCTACCTCCTGGGTTCAAGCAGTTCTTCTGCCTCAGCCTCCCAAGTAGCTGGGATTATAAGCATACGCCACGCTTCCTGGCTAATTTCTGTGTTTTTAGTAGAGATGGGGTTTCACCATGTTGGTGAGGCTGATCTCGAACTCCTAACCTCAGGTGATCCGCCTGCCTTGGCTGGCCTCCCAAAGTGCTGGGATTACAGGCGTGAGCCACTGCTCCCAGTCCTAAATATTCTTGTAATAGTAAGTCTCAGGTATCAAGGTTTCCAAGAAAGGAGGGAAGACAGTTGAGTTGAGTAGTAGTTATAGATTGTCTTCTGAAAAAGGAGTTTTGTGATAGTTTCTCTTTGCTTGGAGATAGAGTTAAGAAATATTTGCAGAGACCATGTGAAAATTAATGATTTTGGACTTGAATGGTAGCCCTGTTTGGAGGTGATGATTTAGACTTGTGTTTGCTTTCTCCTGCAGTGTTTGGCTTCCCTTAATCTTAAGCCCTGCTTATCCTCTTGCCACCTGTGATAAATGCAGGAGGCAGGGCTGAATCTTTCACTGTACTCCAGAGGAGGCCTTTTAATAAGCAGTGGATTAGATGGTACTGCTTAGTTTTCTAATTTTGCTCACAGGGTATCTTTGATGTTATAGGCTTATTTGAACTCTTAGCTTCAGGCTATAGTTTCTGCATTTCCTGCTTTCCATTTCAATTTTTAAAAACTATGTTCTTTCTTTCTTTCATGTTTTTAATAGGTTAACTTGGATAAGCTGAAGGAAAGAGCTCAAAGATTTGGTTTGAATGTCTCTTCAATCTCCAGAAAGGTAATGTAGGTTCAATGGAAGTAATGTTTTTGCAACATTAGAGCAGCTTATGGAAACTGCGTAGGCTGGAAATGACCCTTCTGAGAATGTAGCTGGCTACAAATCATTTCATTTCACACACTCCTTTGACTGTCGCCGCCTCTTGCTGATTCTTGATTATGTTGCAGGAATTCACAAGCTGAGTGTTTTTTTCCCATGGATTGTTTTCATAGCTTTCACCCAGGCTGTTAGAGGATGATCTATATTTCTTTTCTTTGTTTCTTTTTTTTTTTTTTTTTTTTTCTTTGAGACAGAGTCACTCTGTTGTCCAGGCTGGAGTGCAATGATGCGATCACAGCTCACTGCAGGCTTGACTTCCCTGTGCTCAGGTGATCCTCCCACCTCGCCTCTCATGTAGCTAAAACTACAGGTATTTGCCACCATGCCTGGCTAATTGTTTTCTATTTTTGGTAGAGATGGGGTTTTGCTATGTTACCCAGGCTGGTCTTGAACTCCTGGGCCCAAGGGATCCATCCACCTCTGCCTCCCAAAGTGCTGGGATTACAGGCATGAGCCACTGCACCCAGCCTGAGCATGGTCTATATTTTGTTGAGCATGGTCTGAGATGTTGAATTCAGTGATGCTAAGACTTATTACATCTACTTTAACTTTGCTAATAGGCATAATGGGAATCAAATAATCAGGAGAAGACAGTCTTGTCTTTAGGTTAAAGGTACCTAGAAATAAAACTTGGAGGTTCAGTGGAACAAAAATAAGAACGTTATTTCATTCTTTCTGCCTCTCTGCTAACTGATGTTATTTAGTTTATTAAGCAAGATGACTTCGTTTACTATATGCTGTGTGGGATGATTGGTTCCCTAGGGCATAGTTGCCTTTGGAGTTTTGCAAGGCACATTGGAGAAAATTATAAGTATTTTTCTATTTGCCTAGAGCAGGTGGTCTTTTAATCTTTGTTGTTTAGAATAGGAACATGTTTCTTGGTTGTCAAAGTGGTGGCAGGGTATTTGAAACCAGAAAAACTATAATTTAAGAAAAAAATCATTGTGTCCAACTTCAGTATAAAAGTATTTAGCTCTCTAGAAAGCCATTGGAAGAAACTTACCTGACATTAGTTATATATTTTGCTTAGGAAAAAACTAAACACTAAAAGTAATCATTACTATGTAACTATGGAACACTTGTGTACAACTTTGTTCTATCTTTCTTCCATTTAGGTTACTTGTTTTTTTTTTTTAATCTTTTTTTTTTTTTTTGAGGCTAAGTTTTGCTCTTGTTGCCCAGGCTGGAGTGCAATGGCACAATCTCCGCTTACCTCAACCTCCATCTTCCAGGTTCAAGCGATTCTCCTGCCTCAGGCCCCCGAGTAGCTGGGATTACAGGCATGTGCCACCACACCCAGCTAATTTTTGTATTTTTAGTAAAGATGGGGTTTTTCCATGTTGGTCAGGCTGGTCTCAAACTCCTGATCGCCTCGGCCTCCCAAAGTTCTGGGATTATAGGCATGAGCCACCGTGCCTGGCTGCCTGGCTAGTTTCTTAAATCCTTTTTTAGAGATGAGGTCTCCCTATGTTGCCCAGGGAAGTCTCAAACTCCTAGCCTCAAGCCATCCTCCTGCCGTGGCCTCCCAAAGTGCTGGATTATAGGTGTGAGCCACTGCACCTAGCCTGGGTTATCATTTTTGATATTAACTGGAAATATAGCATCAGGTCTGTGTGCCTAGCATGATGCTGAGATCATAGGTGCTCAGTGGGAATACTTGCTCATTTATGTGAAGTAAGAAAAAATTGGGAGTTGAGAGACAGAATATGTGATTCTTAAGCCACATGCAGCTTAATTGAGAAGGGCTATTATAAACCAAAGGTCACTTGTGTTGTGCCAGCTGGCTGAGGGGAAGGGTGCCTTGGATCTGCAGCCCTAGTTCTTACCTGTCTTCTCCCTTTTTATATGAGGGCTAGATATCTGAGAACCCAAGCAGTAACTTCACTCCATCTCCTAGGGAATTGTCTGTGTATTCCTTCAGAATTTACAAAGTTGAACATTGTCTCTCTTACTACATAGCTCATATCTCCTGTTATACATTCCTGAGAAGAATTTGTCCATCAGTGCTATGCTGTATACCTGTGTTATTTTTATGGTATTTCATTATAGGAATATCAGGTCTTTCTCTTCCCTTCCCTAGAATTTTTCTCTGTCGTTGACCTATTTTCATTTTTATTCCACAGGAGGCTTAGTAAAACAGATACATTTATTAACTTTGTGACTTTGAACAAATTACTGAACTTCTTTGATCCTTGTCTGTAAGACTTAGAGCGATAACTAGCAACCTGGTTATGAAGAGTAAATAATTGGATACAGGGACAGTTGGCAGTGGCTCATGCCTGAAATCCCATTATTTTGGGAGGCTGAGGTGGGAGGATTAATTGAGCCTGGGAGTTTGAGGCTGCATTGAGCCATGATAGTGACGTTGCACTCTGGCCTGGGAGACAGAGTAAGACCTTGTCTTTTTTTTTTTCTGAGACAGGGTCTTGTTCTGTCATCCAGGCTGGAATGCAGTGGTGTGATCTCAGCTCACTACAACCTCTGCCTCCTGGGTTCAAGTGATTTTCCCACCTCGCCCTCCTGAGTAGCTAAGAATATGGGAATGCACCACCAGGCGCAGCTGATTTTTGCATTTTTAGTAGGGGTGGGGTTTCTTCATGTTGCCCAAGCTAGTCTAGAACTTTTGGCCTCAAGTGATCCACCCACCTTGGCCTCTTAAAGTGTGGGGATTACAGGCGTGAGCCACTGCACATGGCCTAGACTCTGTCTTTAAAAAAAAAATCATATACAGTATTTGAAAGTACCTAATAGTGATACTTTGATCCTCAATAAATGTTAGTTTTCTTCCTTTTTTCTTAGTTCAGTTCTATTGATAAATTGGCTTTATGGCCTTAAAATTCAGTCAATTAACTTGTATCAGTTTTAGTTTTAGTTGATCGTTGATGAAATTTCAGCTCCCATTTTAAGTCTCTGGAAGGTTGTAATATAATAATGGTAATTGGCAGAACTCTAGCTATGAGCTTCCTTCTCTAATAACATTGATTGTCAATGAATGTGTATAGCATATTTTTTATTTGCATATGTGCTAGAGTAGTGCTTCTGAAATTATCTGTGGCAAAAAACTAGTTTAAAAAATTTATTATTGCAGAGTGATACTTTTATAAAATACAATTAAAATGCTACAACAGTATTAAATTTTTCTGAAAGTTTCTAAACATTTTCAATTTCTGGACTTTTACGAATTACTAAGAAACAGTTTGAAAACTAGCACCAGGAGGCAGACTAAGTAGCACTTTACTAGAATATATATGGTTTCCAGGGACTACTTCACTTGGAGATTTTTGTCTTTTTTAGACGGAGTCTCTCTTTGTCACCCAGGCTGGAGTACAGTGGTACCATCTTGGCTCACTACAACCCCTGCCTGTGGGTTCAAGCTGTTCTCTTGCCTCAGCCTCCCAAGTAGGCTAAACACTGAAAGTAATCATTACTGTACCACTGTGGAACACTTGTGTACAACTTTGTTCCATCTTTCTTCTATTTAGGTTACTTGTGTTTTTTTAAATCTTTTTTTTTTTTTTTTTTTTTTGAGATTGAGTTTCGCTCTTGTTGCCCATGCTGGAGTGCAGTGGCATAATCTCGGCTCACTGCAACCTCCGTCTTCCAGGTTCAAGCGATTCTCCTGCCTCAGGTGCCTGAGTAGCTGGGATTACAGGCATATGCCACCACACCCAGCTAACTTTTGTATTTTTAGTAAAGATGGGGTTTTTCCATGTTGGTCAGGCTGGTCTCAAACTCCTCAGGTAATCCACCTGCCTTGGCCTCCCAAAGTGCTGGGATTATAAGTGTGTGCCACCATGCCCAGCTAATTATTTATTTTTTTAGTAGAGATGGGTTTCACTATGCTGGCCAGACTGGTCTTGAACTCCTGACCTTGTGATTCACCCACCTCAGCCTCCCAAAGTGCTGGGATTACAGATGTGAGCCATTGCACCCAGCCAGTTTGTGACTTTTTGAGATGTCCTCTTTGAGTATTTATTTATGTTGTTTGTAAATCTTGATTTTCAGAACCATCCTAATTTAAACAGTTTGGTTTATTTTGTCCCATAAATGATCAGTGTCCCAGAAATGCTGATATTTTGCTGTCTAGACCAGCACTGCCCAATAAAACTTATTTTACAAAGCCATTTGTGGCTAGTGGCTACTGTATTGGGCAACTTATATCTAGCTTATATCTCCTATACAGCTTTCATAAATAATTGTAGAAAATATAAGCCATTTCAGAGTAAATCTATGAAAGGAGTAAAGTTGGAGGAAAGGGAGTAAGAAATAAGAAAAGTAAGGATTTTTTTTTCTAGAACTTAGTGTTCTAGTTCTAAATCCTGGAATTGCAGCTGCGTACATTGTCTGGTGAGAGTTGCCTAGTTCTTGTGGTTAACTATTTATTGCCATAATGAGTTGCTACCTAGAGTTTGTTTGGTTGGCTGAGGTTAGTAACAAGGTTAAGTTTGTGTTTACGGAACTGCCAGAGGAGCAGACTTTTTTAATTTTTTTGAGATGGTGTTTCACTCTTGTTGCCCAGACTGGAGTGCGATGACGCTATCTCGGCTCACTGCAACCTCTGCCTCCCAGGTTCAAACGAGTCTCCTGCCTCAGCCTTCCAAGTAGCTGGGATTACAGGCATGTGCTACCACACCTGACTGATTTTTATATTTTTAGTAGAGATGGGGTTTCTCCATGTTGGTTAGGCTGGTCTCGAACTCCCAACCTTAGGTGATCTGCCTGCGTCTGCCTCCCAAAATGCTGGGATTATAGGTGTGAGCCACCATTCCTGGCCCAGATGAGCATACTTTTGTCCACCTCATCCTGGGATTCTGGGTTCCAGCGTAGCCTTCTATATAATTTGGTCACTTGTCTTTAAGTTGGGTAATTGTCTAGGCACAGATTTTATTCAGTTATATGTG